CCTTGCGGCTTCAATCACCGCGCGTTCTTCATTCCCTGCCATCTCTATTGGTTGTGGTTGGACTACTATGTCCAACTCTCTTTCAATCCTGGTTCTTGCGTCGACTTCCCTCCTTACTCTGTGAAGTGTTCGTTCAATCTCAGGATCAAGGGGAAGTAGATTGTTTGCGCTTCTACTCCTCCGCATTCAAGAGAAGAGCATGTGTTAACACAAACAAGGTAAACTGAAAATTAAAGCTTGAACAAATAACTAATAAAAGCCTAACTCAGTCAAGTAGCTAATTTCTAAGTCCCCGGCAACGGTGCCAAAAACTTGTTGCGACCAAAACACTCACGCAAGTGCACGTGATCGTCAAGTAATAAAGTAGTGAGTAGAGTATCGTTTCCACGAAAACTTGTGATTAACTATTGACTGATTTAAACTCAATTAACTTATCGATCCAAGAGATTTTTCACAAAGGATATTCGTCTTTAATTTACTACCTAAAATATCAATTAATAGACTAACTAAAATAATCAACCAAACAAATAGCAATTTCGAATGACAATCAGTAGGGGAGAATATTCCAGGGTCACGTGCTAGTTAACAATCATGTTGCATTCTTGGCTTAAAATAACTAATTGATTTATCTGGGTTGTTGATTGACAGGGTTAATATTGCTCATAAGAATCTGTCGAGTTCTTACTCGCCTATTCAAGCTAACCTAACGCCTATATGTCTATGGAGTTAGAATCAACAAGAATGCATTTATAAATCCTGTATTTCAACCAAACAAGGCAATTAGGTATATGTCTATCCTAACCGCGAATCCATTCCCCGATGCCCAGGTTCAAGAACTTGCTCTATTTAATTCTATAAGCAATCCAAAGTTCCCACTTTCGAGTTCAACTATAGATTCGTAGATAGTATTCCACTGTTAGCTACTCAGCAAAATAATTAAGAACAGAATTAAATAAACAACCCAATATGATTAAACCAACTTTGTTAAATTAACCGCTGAACAACAACAATCATGTTTCACCCATGACCCTAGAACAATAGGTTTTAGCCACTCATAGTAGTGTTCATCTCAATAATGTTTAATTTCATTCAAAACGCAAAAACAAGAAGAAGAAAAGAAGAACTTGATGTTGGATTTTCCTCCTTGCCTCTTGCCTCTATGTTTCTTGCACTAAACTATGAAAACCTTCATATCTAATCCTTGGGCGAGCTTGACTTTACATAGGTTAAGTGAAATTTCCTTCAGATTTCCAATTTTGCCCCTAACAAATCTTTTCCGGAACTGGGACTAGCGCGAACGCGCTAATGCTCGCGCTAGTCTCCTGACATTCTGCCTCCCGCTTCTGGACTAGCGCGATCGTGCTACTGCTCGCGCTAGAGCTCGTGCTAGTTCAGGTCATTTTTTCTTCAATTCTTTGTCTAGTCTTTGCGCGCACTCAGCTCCGAGGGGTCTTTCTTGCTCCAATGTAGCTCCAATCACAACTTTAAGGCATCATATAGGCTCACCATCCTGCAATATGTAAAATTCACAATTAAAGCCCATTTTTCATCATTTAACCATATTATGACATTGAAACATAATCAAGCGGGAGCATGAAACAATCGCCAAATCACCTAGACCTAGCCTATTATCAATCTTCTATATATATATATATATATATATATATATATATTATTATAAAAGCATGAATATCTCATGCTAAATGTTAAGCGACAAAAATATCCCTGAAATGTTAATCGACCATTAAGCCCTTTAAAAGCTAAATTATTTCTTTAATGAATCAAATTATTATTGGATATAATTGTAATATTGAGTATAATTCTTTTTGGGCTCAACATCATCACCGCCAACATGGATGATAGAATCAAATTATTTCTAATTCTTCTTGACATCAACATGACTCACGGCCAATTTGATGAATGGTACATGGTAGAATCCTAATTCTTTTTATCTAAAGACTTCAACTCAAAGTTTAAGATAAAACTTAACGAGACATATCACATTTGTAAGTTCTACTCGCTAAAGATTTAATTATGTCCATTCTAAACACAAATTATGTAAAAAGATCATGCAAAGTCACGGACAGCCAATTTTTTTTGGCTATTGAAGATGATCAATTGGCTCAACAATTCGTCAAAGCTTATGTCACTAACAGACTCCAATTTGTTTTGGGTTTCTATTCTCCAAAGTTGACAACAATTTCAATTAATTTGTAACGTTTTGCATGTCTCTGCTATATATACCCGGCTAAAGCTGAGCTAGCCTACTTATACTCATATCTTAAGTGCAGAACGTCTGCTTTGTAGTGATAGTAATAGCATCAATATCAATATTATGGTTAAAATCGGTTTGTCATCTCGTTTTCATTCTTTATCTTGTTCAATTTTAATATTTTCCTTTGACTCCGCCACAAAACTATATAGTTCTAATGGAAATTTGCCGTCACATTTGGATAAAATTTCAATATAAAAATAGCATTCAAGTGATTTGAAGAGTCTTTCAAGATAGATATGTTTTTGGGAGAACCAATTGAACGTCCAACATAGAATTAAACAATTAATTTCATTAAGAAAATAACATAATCATCTAGATTTACCAACCTGTCAAGATTGAAATTTTAATACAACATATAGGAAAAAGGAAAAAAATTAAGATAAATAAAAGAAAAGAATTAAGCGTGGTGGCGAATTAAGTAAAAGTGTTGGAGTGGCAAGAAATATAGATAAATGAAAACACTCATGTTGGTAACATATTCAAGCTTTTCCTTCTTCTTGAAAAAGATCATAACAGGAAGCAAATTCTTATGGTTCAATATATATTCTTCTCATATGTATACTCACAGAAGTCGTCCTTGACTACTTTTGTTCACTTAGGTTACTAAATTAAAAGTGATAATAAAGCATACAAGGTATTAATTAGCTAAAAAGTGTCATTTTTAAATTTTTTATAAGTTGCACTAAATAAATACTTTTATGGTGAATATAATTATATCTCCCAGATAAATAATCATTTTAAATTTTTTATATCTAATAGTGACTTTATAATAAATTTTTATTAATTACCAAATATGCAAATTCTGACGAAATATACTTTTCTTAATGTACTATTGAAAAGACAAAATTTACAAACTGATAACATCGAGCAATATCGATCGAACCATGTTTATTGAGTATTTGGAGACATGCTCAATAGCCTATAAGCACTAACCAATATAAAGAATTTCAAGAGTATTATGTCTTAAACCCCCCATTCTCAGTTATGGACAAAATGTATGAATCCTTAAAATTCTACTTTGCCTTTAAAAAATGAAGGATATCTTTTTAAATTATTCGAAATTTTTTTGTGTATACTTGTGTTTTGCAAGGATAATAAATAAAGCACTTGAGCAAATAATATAATTGCCGCAATATACTTTTCTCGTCCGGACAATTACATGTTGCACTTTCAAATTATATCGACGTCGAACACTAAAAGTTATTGTCATAACGGAACAACCAATGTATTAGAAGAAAAAATTAAATATACAAAAAATATCGTCTACTAAGAGGTCTTAGGTACAATAGAATCACATGCATATTTATAAACTATAAGTACATATAATACGTTGACTATAAAAAATTTAGGTAAGATATAATTACATTATTTCTAAACTATAATTATATATATTTTTTGTTATTTTGAATTCGGTTATATGGCTAATGTAATAACATTGACTTCCACTAATTAAATTTATTGTTCCAGCCTATAAATGCATGTCTGAATATTTACGTGCTATTATTATCGTGCAATGCACGAGACTAGTTTCTAATAAGCATATGTTTAATTTGAATGAATCAAACACACTGGGACTGAACATTTTCAAAATCAAAAATTTGCAAGAGTATTAATCCATATATATATATAAAAAATTGGAGTACTGTGTGTAGTAATGTGTACAATTAATATCAAGCAAACAGTTGAAAGTAGCCTTAGAGTAACATAATGATGAAAGTGCAATAAGCCTAAGCAGTCTAATAATTATATTGCTGCACATTTTTGCAACTAATCATGCTGCTTATTGCTGCACATTCTTTTGTCATCGCCACAATTTACATTGTTAACTTCCACATGACGCCTTGTTATTTCAATCCCAACACTTCCTACCGTAGTGGCCAGTGGCCACTTCAGTCACTAATAATATGTAAACATTAAACTCTAGCAGCAATGTAACAGAGGAAATTAAAGGTGTAAAATGACGTCCATTTGTAATATTAGCTCGTCCGAGTTGCACCATTCTATCAGCTTCTCAGTAATTATAGGTGGAACTACGTACATTCAGCACCCTACAAGTCTAGAACAGTGCACCCTAAAAATCCAATGCAAAATACACACATCATGCACTTATTGCTTTAATACATCATTGATCCAAATAAATATTAATTTTATATTACAGTAGCTTCAATTCCTTGCAAAAAGGTTCTTAATTCCCCCTATTCAAATTGTTTTTAGTACATTCCTTATCTTAGTAGTAATATTGATTATTTAAACATGTTTTCACCTGGCAATATATATTAGTATTATTAAAGCCTTTCATTGTTTTTTTTCTAATGATGGAGAAATCCGTCTGTGCAGGGCGGATCTAGTGTATCGCCGATGGGTTCAATTGAACCCATAACTTTCAATGCGGAGTAAAAATTTATATGTAAAAGTTCATTAAAATTGCAAAAATAGTAGATATCAACCCATAACTTTAGAAATATAATAGGTTCAATACTAAAAACTTTAAAAGTTGAACCCATAGGGTTTGAATCCTGGATCCGCTTCTGCGTCTGTGGCACCCTAAACTTGGAGATAATGAACCCCGCCCAGTGACGGAGCCGCCTTATTGACACTCCTTGTGGGAAAAATAAGTAGGTAATTTTTTTTTATATGTATATATATTATATGTTGACTACCCTTATTTTTCATATGTTTATTTTTATATATTTTGATACCCCTAAATAAAAATAATTCATTGTGCATGCATGTAGCCGTGGGATTAATTGGTGGGCTCCCCGTTCCACCTTTTGAAACAGTAATTCATGATTGACTTTGAGCTAATTAAATGGCAAAAATATTTCTACACAGAAAAAGCCAAATTAAGTTGGTGACGGCTAGCTTTTTACCAACAACAACAAAGTGATTGTGGGATCCATTATATATATCCCACTATGGGGATTTCCAGAATAGACAATATTCATTGTTGTTATATATCCTTTAATTTCCCGTTTTTTTCTACTCATAATTCAACTTAGAACAGCGAGAAGAGCATCTGGGTTATCTTCAGTCTGGTTCGGTTAGTCCTCACTTTAATTTGATTGGATTTCATCTATTGGATTATGTGTGGAGGATTTATTAAGTTTGTAGTTGGATCTTTGGTGATAAAATATTTAATTTGTCTGTCGCTTAACAGCTTGAATAAAGTTACAACTGAGCATCATTTTGGATGTGAATTTGATATGTATATTAATAAAACCATATATATATTGAGGGGGTTTTCAAGAGTGTTGAATAATTTTTTTATTTCACAATGTATAATATGTTGATTTGGAACTATGAATAGAGAGTTAAATAATCTAGAAGGATCTCTGAGCCTTTTTTGAAGTTGGTAAATTAAGGGTGTGTTTAGTACTTTGGCAAATGTTGTCCCAGAAAATGTTTTCCCGAAAAATGAGCAGTTTTATCACTTATTTTCCTTGTTTGGTCGGTGAGTGGCTCAATCCACCTTGCCCAAAATCTTCATGTTTCCTGTACTCTCCCCCACCCCCCATCCCCACCCCCCGGACTCAATTTTCTTCAAGAATTTAATTATTCTTTTCAAAATTATACCAACCCAAAGGAACTAATGTGCTACTTTACTTTTCACACAAGAACAATGTTAAAATTTGATAACTAAATAGAAAATACTTTATTTTGTTGAAAAAGAAAGTATCTTTTCTACAACATGAAAGGAAATTACTCATTTTGTTGAATGAAAAAAATACTTTTTCTACATCATGAAAAAAAATACTCAGTTTGTTGAAATGAAAAATATATTTTTTCTACATCATGAAAAGGAAGTACTCGTTTTGTTAAAATGAAAGAAAATATTTTTTCTATATCAGGAAAGAAAATACTTAGTTTGTTGAAATAAAAAAAAATATTTTTTCTACATCATAAAAAGAAAATACTCGTTTTGTTGAAAAGAAAGAAAATATTTTTTCTATATCATGAAAAGAAAGTACTCATTTTTTTTTTAAAAGAAATTACTTTTTCTATTCCAGAAAAAGAAAATACTTAGTTTGTTGAAATGAAAAAAAAAAACTTTTTCTACGTCATGAAAAGAAAGTACTCGTTTTGTTGAAATGAAAGACAATACGTTTTTCCATATCATGAAAAAAAAAAGTATTCGTGTTGTTATGAAAGAAAATACTTTTACTACATCATGAAAAAGAATATATTCATTTTGTTGAAATAAAAAAAAAAGTACTGTATCTACAACATGAAAATAAAGTATTCTTAATAATAATTCTATTTAGGATGGCTGGTGGGCGTGGTTGGGGTGGGTGGGGTGTGGTCGGGGGTAGGGGGTTGGGGGTTGGGGTGGTTTGGGGGTGGGTGGGTGAGGGTGGATTGGTGGGCATGGGGAATAAGGTGGAGAATATTGAAAAAGAGTTTTGGAAACATTTTCCTCCAATTGGAGGAAAATGAATTGATGAGGAAAATATTTTCCAAAATATTTAAGCCAACCAAACATTTTCAGAAAATATTTTCCTTCGTACCAAACACACCATAAATCAACCTTGTCTTCTATATGAATCCTGTATATCCATTTCAATCTATTCAGAAACCGGAATCATGAAAGCCTAAATAATATAAATAGGAAGTATAATTAATACATTTGATCTAAAGCATATGAACAATCTGTTGTTTGAAAGAATAGAGAACACTTATAAGGTGTCATCCTAAGAAGTAGAAGAATTTGGTGTGATCAAGACTTCTTTTATCTTTTATGTTCCTCTTTCTTTCCCTTTTTTCTTTTTTCTGATTCTTATTCTTGTAAAGCTAATTTGCTGTTGGTATTGGTCATTATTAGTCACTGAAATTTTTATGTAAATTAATCGGAAACAGCCTCACTGTGCTTCGAGGGTAGAGGTGAGGCTGTGTACATCTTGCCCTCCTCATACCCCACTTGTGAAAAACTACTGGGTTTTTTGTTGCTGTTGTTGTAAAATAACATGTTAACTGAATTATTTCACCTCCATGATTTTGGTTTAAGGATTTTCTAATTATTCTTTTGCTTTCCCGTTCTTTCTGTTGGAATCTTGTTACTTTGTGAAGCAGAATATAGAACCTGCTGCTCTTCATCTGGCAATGAATTGCTGAAAGCTGTGCCCTCAAATAACCACTCAATTACCAATTACACTTTGCATCAACAGAACTGGGAAAGTTTCTCATTTCCAGATCAGCAGTCTAGGATTGAGCACGCATCTCGCATGGAACATCAGGTTAATCAAAGGAATGATTTTACCAGAATTCAGGATTGGGATCCAAGAGCCATGCTAAAAAATATGTCTTTTCTTGAACAAAAGATTCATCAACTCCAGGAGCTGGTGCGTATAATTGTTGACCACAGAAGTCTAGTTGGGATTCAGGGAAATGACCTTTCAATTCAGCAACAACAGCTAATAACTGCTGATCTTACCTCTATTATTGTTCAATTAATATCAACTGCAGGGAGTCTTCTTCCAACCGTGAAGCATCATACACTTTCCTCCGCGGACCCAACCACTAAGCAACCTGCACAGTCTGGTGGTGTTTCGGTTCCTTCTGGAAAAGTTATTAATGCCGGTTCACTACCACACAGTGTTAATGTAACTAAGGCGGAAGATCAGCCCAACCACGTTGATCTAATGGGCGATTGTGGGATTGAACAAAATTATGCTGCTGATGAACATGAGGCAAAAGATGAAGATGAATTCCATGACGAAGAGAACCTTCCTCCTGGTTCCTACGAGATTCTGCAGCTGGAGAAAGAGGAAATTCTTGCACCTCACACTCACTTTTGCACAATTTGTGGGAAGGGATTTAAGAGAGATGCTAATTTGCGGATGCACATGAGGGGTCATGGGGATGAGTACAAAACTCCAGCTGCTCTTGCAAAGCCTCACAAGGATCCCAGCTCTGGGACGACGACTCTTATTAAAAGGTATTCCTGTCCTTGTGTTGGTTGCAAGCGCAACAAGGAGCATAAAAGGTTTCAGCCGTTAAAAACTATCCTATGTGTGAAAAACCATTACAGAAGAACCCACTGTGAGAAAAGCTATGCTTGTAGTAGGTGCAATCTGAAGAAATTTTCAGTTATTGCAGATCTTAGAACACATGAGAAGCATTGTGGTAAAGATAAATGGCTTTGTTCTTGTGGAACAACCTTTTCCAGGAAAGATAAGCTTTTTGGACACGTTTCCCTTTTCCAAGGACATACACCTGCAATTCCTCTAGATGAAACCAAAGGTTTTGCTGAGACATCTGATCAAGGCCACACCGGTAAAGCAACGACAGAGGCTGGAGAGATCAGTTTTGAGTTATATGTTCAGAATGGTAGTGGGCTTCAAAATACTAAAAATGGCGAACTCCAAGAGTTTCCCCAGCCACCATTTGAGGACCCAGAAAACTCATTCTCTTATCTGCTGTCAGGTTCATGTAATTACCCTCAGAGGGCTGGGAAAATATAGGTTCTACTGAACTGGAATAGATCAAAGTGAATTTGTCATTGATTTGATATGGTGGTCTGGTTTCTTGTTATGTCAGTTCCTTTTGGGAATAAGTGAAGTCTTTTCTTAGTATGTAGTGCTCTTTTTGATTGCTTAACATGTTATATCTGGCTCGACTAGGTATTTTCGTTAACTAGCAAATCTATAATCCTAGTTGCAGCAAGTCTACAATAAATGCATTAATCGTCTAAAGCCTTTCTATAGAAGTTGAGAGGAAGATAAATTTTCTAGATAATCCTTGATTCAGATCAGAATATCTATTAATCTGCTTTGCGATATAAACAAATTTCATTAACAAACTGCTCCTTAATTACTTACGCAAGAGTATCAGGGTAGATGCCGAGCAAATCAGATGATAACAACCATATACCAAAGTGTTGAGCAGTCCCTAGAAAATTTAACAAACAAATAAAAGAGAGGAAGAAGAAGAAAATTGAAAAAAAATACTGCAAATGTAGATGTATTAACAAAAACGTCTACAAAGTACCCTGATTTCATGAAGAAAGTCTCTGACTCATCTAGAATCAATTTCAGTGCATTGACAAACAGAAGTTCCAAGAGATTGAAACAATGGCCATTTACAGGTTTAGATGCAGCCAGAAGATCTGAAATTCATCTTCAACATCTTTAATAAGAAGGGGGGACGGACGCGCACTGGCTAGGCTAAGTGGTTCAGCTTCTATTGGTTACGGGGACTACTCTACTCAGCTAACTGCCGCTGCCTGAACAGATTTGCCTATAATGAGAATTATGAAGCAATATCAGCTTCAAGCCTTTTGCTGCTTGTCCTGACTTTGATGACTTCTTTAGAGGTCCAGGATAATATGGCTCCCCAAGAACAAAGTCATCCACACATGACCAAGTGCTTCCCCTGGGAGAGCTGTCTTTCCAAAGAAATCTCTCTGAGAATGGATTCACCAGACTCTCTCGGAAATCTTCTGCTGTCTCACAGTTTAAACCCTGCCGATCAATAAACAAAAAATGAAGTGTCAGTTGATGCTCATAGCACAAGCAGAAACATTTTTCTTTTGTTTCCAGAAGGGGTGGTGGGGATGCTGAAGGGAGGATTATTTATTGTGTCTTACTTCTGCCATGGCCTTGATCTTCATGGTAAGATCATTGCTAAGGAGAACTAGTTGTCCATCTCTGCTAGTTCGTTTGAATAGGAGGGCACATTCAAGGATATGATCTTCTGCTGTGGGTGAAATAATTTCCGCTAGACCACAATGTGGAGAGGATAGAACTGAACCGACTGGAAAGATGCCATTCTCCTTACTGAACAAAGACGGTGGTGCAGTAGCAGGAGGAGTCGGTGCCATTGGCCTTGCTTCCTCCACACAACTCTGCACATGAACCCATGATTTTGCATTTACCTTGCAGTCTTCTATCCATTCTAGTGCTGCAGAGACTTCTGTTGCTCTCCTAAAAAAGCCAGCACGCCTCTTCATGCAATCCAGTTCCCTTAAGACTAACATCAAGTAACAGGTATAGATCACGTAAAGCGGTTTTGCATAATAGAAGTTACTGAAATACATGAAAATGTCAGGGAAATTTTCTAATGGAATGCCAAAGTAAGTTCATTACCAATTCTGGGGATTATCAGGTAAGTCCCCTTGAGACCTTGCAAAAGCTGCAAAGCTTTTCTTGACTCTTTGTTTAACAAAGAAACGGTGTCCACTACCATGGTCCACCTTCTTTTCTCTTCCCTGGCATTGTTATCCTGCAGATATTTGTTTAAAGGATAAATTAGGACTTATCAACGTTCCCAGTTCTCATTGGTTGCAGTCATCCAAGAGACTCAAATTTACAATTGTTATGCTGTATGGTCTGAACCGTCCTAATAGCTAACCTTTGAACAATCATAATGTCAATCAGCATGCCTCATTGGATGAAGTGTAAAAGAATAGTGTAACAAAAATATATATAGCAGACCTGTGTCCTGGCCAAAATCAAATCTTTTACTCTCAGAGGCTAACAACTTAATGCTACAGATTGGAAATCGTGAATCTGAAGAAGTTTTTCACATAAGAAACAGGTAAATGAACTTACAGAAAAGGGGCCTGCTTCCATAATTTGTTGACACTTGATTGGATTAGCATTCAGCTTGACTTGCCGTTCTGGAGATTCTGAATTGGTGTTGCTGGGGGAGTTCACAAGCAGAGATTGAAATGGCACTCTATCTGTTCTGTTCTTCAGTATATTTACCTCCGATCTATCCACATTTCTGGAAGCAACACTTGCTGATTTCTGCTCTTCAAGTACTTTGCCAGTCAAGTTTTCTTTCTCAAATGGTTTTAGATGCTTAACCTCCACCATTTTCCCTTTCCTTTTCGATCTCATTGAACAACTATTGGGTGTCATATTCTCTTTGTCTGGAGTGAAAATTTCTTCACTATTGTTACTCATATTTGAGAGCACTGTAGATGATCCGATATTCTCTTTCTTGTGGTATTTAAGACCTTCAGCTTCATGGAGTGTGGGATCAAAAATCTCTTTCATATGGGAGGATCTAAAAGGTTTTCGATGCTTATTTTGTTCCAAACTGCTCATCTTCTTCATAGGTTGCAGCAAATGAGCGTTTGGGGTAAGATCCACTCTGTCCAGATGAAAATTCTCTTCAGCATTCTCATCCGTACAACAAGAAAGGACAGGTTTAGTAGCTTGTTCATTCACCTCGGACCCAAGGAAGAGAGAACTAGGAGTATGGTTCTCTTTGTCTGGAGTGAATGCATCTTCTTCATCCTTGTTTGCACTAGAAAAAGGATCATTCGAAACTGATCCCATTCCAACCTTCTCACGATTAAGTGAGTTAACTTCATTATCAATGTCAACTTTTTCAATAATTGCTCTATCTCTACCTGTTTGAATCTGAACACTGGAACATTTTCCTCTTCTAGACCAAATGCTCAAACATCTTTGCTGAGATCTTACTGGAGTACTATCTGCATTTTCTGTTTGGGACCCTCCTGAGACAAGAAGCGCTCGTGGAGTGCTGTTTTCTTTGTCAGGTTCATAAGCAGGCTGTATCAAACTGATTTCACTCTCTCCATGTATTTTCTCAGGTGGATTTACATTTACTGCCTCGTCGCCAACAGGAAATGAAGACTCCAAATATTCAGGCATTGGAGGAGCTGATGGAGTCAAGCTTTTTCCATATGGCAACAAACTCATATCAGAAAATGCTGAATCTTGAACCTGCGCTGAATCATCATCCTCATTCTGAAGGGCAAAGCCACTCTCATCCTAGAAAATTGATAAATTAGACAATAAGGTGAAAGAATAGTTAAAAGTGAAGACAACAACGACGACGACAACAACAACAACAAAAAAAAAAACCAGTGAGAATCCTAGGGGTGTGCATTCGATTTATCGATTCGATTTTGACCCTTATCGATAATTACTTATCGATTATCGATTTGTACATATGCTTATCGTTATCGTTTCAATAAGGTTTCTATTTTTTCGATTTCGATTTATCGATTTTGGGGCTTATTGATTCGGTTATCGATTACACCAATAAGAAAATTTGCGGGATTCGGAAAGTATATCGTTATAAACACGTCTAACTGATATGGACAAAAAGAAGCTAAAATAAGACGAATACCGTTTATAACATAAAAATTGTGTCAACAAGCACATGCAACAAAACTAAAGTAAGGGATCAAATGTATGCCACCAACACTCCAACGGTATAAAAAAAGCAAAACAAAACAAAATACATCATCACGGCTAATTTTGTTTTTCATTAATTTGAACTTCATTCCCTTGAGCTTTAAATATGATCATTCCTTAAATGTGGTAGAGGAAATAATAGGGTTATGGACTTAGGATAAAGGAAAGGGTATTATAAAAAAAAATAAAAAAAAAAAATTTTAAAATAAAAAAATTTGTCTTTTTAGTATATCTTATCGGTTTATCGATAAACAGATAACCGAAGAGGACAAAATCGAAATCGAAATCGATAACTCGATAAGGAAAATTTCGAAATCGAAATCGAAATCGATAAATCGATAAACCGATAACAAATAATCGATTCGATTTATCGATAAACCGATTCGAATGCACACCCCTAGAGAATCCCACAAGTGGAGTCTGGGAAGAGTAGAATGTACGCATACCTTACCCCTATCTTTGTGAAGGTAGAGAGGCTGTTCCGATAGACCCAAGACAACAATAAAAAGAAAACATACAGTTATTGTTCTGAAGCTCTTTTTCTATTTACACATACTACTTCTTCAGCTCACCTGATGTTTTTTCTCCTCTGCTTCTTTCACTGATTCTGCTTCACTTAATGGAGCTACAAATGGATTCCCCAAATCATATGCACGGCTGATTGGAATCCAATGAAGCCTGTACTCCCTGCTTGAACCTCCAAGCTGCATCTTATCGCCCTCTTTCAAATCTACTCGAACCCCTGGTTCAATCTTGTTGCCAGAAATCCATGTCCCGTGGACTAAAACAACAGCAAAACCACAGTCAGCACATTTTCCTTTTTAGTTTGTCGCAAAAATAGTTATATATTTTTATATTTAGAAATAATTTTACTTTAACCTTTTCATTTACGTTAATGAGATGATTCATAGACACGCAAATGTCTATGACTTATTTTAGACCACAAGTTTCAAAGTCTTTTTTTCTTTTCTAACTCCACGTCAAAATTGGGACAGAGGGCATGATAAACAACAAAAGAAATGTGAATTAACTGGAAATTCATCAATATATGCAGAGAAAATCAACTGACTAGATAAACCATAATCTAATGAAGGAAAGCAAAAAAAAAAAAAATCAAAATGTCTAGCAAAGAGAAATGAAGCATGTTAAACATTATACAGAGAGTTCATAGTACTCTGAAGCAAAATGACAAAGAGAAACCCTAAGCATAAAATGTTTTGTCTTAGTCAAGAGAAATTTTTTTTTTTATAGAAACATTTGGTACATGAATAAAATCACCAATATACAAGATTATGAAAAAAAAAAAAAAAGTAGTAAAATTTCCACAACCCTCTTCTTTTAAATGTGGCTTACAAAGGCAGAGCTTGAATATATAGTCTAAATAAGATAAGAGAAATTAAAGAATTACCAGAAGACAGATCAATAACAGAGAGGGAGTGAGTAGAGGGATTCGAGTGAATGCGGAGGTGGAATCTGCTGATGCTTGGGTGTTCCAAGACTATGTTACAATCTGGATGTCGTCCAACCACCGACAAAATCTCTTCAAAATCTGGTTTCGTTTCTTCAGCAGAAGCTGTGGTTATAGGTGGGGGATAATCAAGAAGAAAGATGTTCTTGAGGATGGCTCCATTCTTTAGCACTGTAAACACTGGAATCTTCTTCTCTAATTCAGTCTGTAAATTGGGTTTTCCCAAAGATTCTTGATTCTCCGCCATGAAAGAGAAACACAGAGAATTTGTCCCAATGGAAGAGAGAGGGGAGACGGGTGTTTTTGAATAAAATCTTGAAAATGTGACCGTTAGATTATATAGACGGAGTACTGCTTGTGCGAAACGGGCCAACTTTTCCTTTTAATAGCAGAATTATTACATGTAAGTTTTATAATTTTTGTTATTTTTATCTAGGCATTTGGGACTTTCTTTTTTGCACTTTTATCCAAATGCTTGTCGAGTTTAATGTTTACTTGTTTTCATCTGTTTACATAAATTATACAATGTGATCATACACGGTTATACATCTATTATATCATAAATTATATATCTATTTATATTTATATCATCATTATAAAAACATGACTACAATGTTGATTTACAAAAATAACTTTATAATATTGAGCATAATAAATCTCTCTCTCTCTCTCTCTCTCTCTCTCTCTCTCTATATATATATATATATATATATATATATATATATATATATATATATATATATATATATATATATATATATATATATATACTATATTAAAAGCACGAAGGGCCCTAAGCGCTAAGCGAAATATCGTTCGCCTTTTTACCCTTTAATAGTAGAGTTCACACTGGACAAATAGTCATTTAGTTATTTCCTAATATTTGAAGACTTTTGAAATAGAATAGAACATTAATTATAATCGTATATTTAGGACTTTAAAATCTATAATCCGTTTTATTTATTATGTAGCATAACTGTAAGAAAAAAAGTATGGCAATCATCGGCTTCTTAATTATGGAACAAATTTAACTTTCTTAATTATTTTACAAGACAATATTGTAGAAACTTGCATATAGTATAAATAGGTTTACTCCTTACGCCTTTAAATTATAATTTTGAAGTTTTATATATCTTATGCGTTTTGAAGAAGAAAATTTAATTATTAAAATATTTATAATTGATATCGTGATTGAGGAAAAACCCCCAAAAAAGAAAAAGTGAGGAAAAAATCAACTGAAAGTTTGAGCAAAATGCTCTAGCCTTTAAATTTTATTTAGGTACGTGGCAAGCATCAAGAGCTCTATTGAGTACTTCAAGCAAGTAAATTTTAATTGATATTAAAGTCCTAAAAAGTATTATTTGATATTATTATTTGAATCATCTTGGATTGAGCGCGTGTTTAAATTCTTCCTCCCTAAACAATATTATCATTGCGTGTACAACAGTCAGTATAATTGCTGAAATATACATTTTCATCGATCAATACTTTTCATATCAATTATATTTTGTCCTTCAAATGACTAATTTCTCTTGAATTATTTAATTGAAAGTAATCAAATTCTTAATTATTTTAGCTTCTTCCTAAATATTGGAGAAAGGACCATGAAAGGTACTATAGTTATGTTATATGGTTTAAATAAGGAAAAATTATATAACGTGAAAAGTTAATTAATTTTAAAATTCTAATATAGGACTTTTAAATTAACAATATTTTCTTTATTAAATTTTTTCTTATTTGAAATATGGTATAAATTCTAATACATTTAAAACTTTAAAATCACTTTAAATTTTACCTTATTTAATTATTTTTTTTGATTATGATATAACTATAAAATTAGGGGCAACTATGAGTAGTAATAGTAAGATTGTTCTTGTGACAAAGCTATCCAAATGATAAGAGAGACCATATATCAACGTCATTCGTAAATTAAGTGCCATAATATCATTTGAAGTAGAGTCCAAACTTGTATGAATTTTTTTTTTGGAGTTTAAAGTTAACTAATACAAATAGAAATTTTAAATACAAATTCCATTTGAATAATAATACCGCATAGTTGAATGATTGGAATAGACTTCCAATTTTAATTCCAAGTAATTCTCTTGAAATAAATAAAATGTTCCTTTCAAATAATAAATGAGTAAATAATTTGAGTTAAGGCTATGTAGACTTATGTGAAACAATATATCATCCGTTATTGAGGTAGCAAAATAAAATGAACATTCATTATTTTTAGGAATTTACACTATTTTCTTTAAATTCTATTTTATGACTCAAAACACAAATTTTTTAATAATATTTATGTGAATTTTTATAATCTTTTATTCAGCGCCACAAGGTACACGCACAACGCGCGTACCATAAGACTAGTCATAATAAAAGGACATAGCCGGAATTCTAGATATTAGCCTTATAATCCTATTAGTTTTAGGACATAATACTACATGTTAGGAATCCTACGTGATTACTTTTAGGAATTCTATTAGTATAATTACTTTTAGGATATACTTCTTAAAAATTCTTGTTCTATTACAAATTTAATTTAATAATGTATTACATTGTCCAATATGTCATTTAGAAAAAGGAGAGCTTATATTATTATAAAAGCATAAATACAATATTAATATACCAAAATAGCCCTAAAATATTAGACGGAAGAACTCATAAGGAAAGGACATAACTGCAGTAACTTATTTTTTGGACTACAATACCTTCTATGATAATTTTTAATATTTACGTTTTTAAAATTAATAAAGTTTGTCTATTAAATTCTTATTAAAAATATGTAATAAGGTTTAACAAAATTAATTTCATAAGAATCCTCTGTATTGGCAATACATTACCACTCCATAATGTTCAATACCAAAAAAAAAAGTAATATTAAATGGACTGCATAAAGAGTTGAAATTGAGGAAAAAATATACCCCCACGATAATATATTTTTATATTATATTTGAACTATTTCCTACTCAAATAATATTTTTAATCAATTTTTCGTGTAATATTAAAAATATCCAATTATTAAACAACAAGTAATTACGAATATAAATGTGTGAGAAAGAGAAAAAAATAGCTGGTAAGAGTCAATACCACTAATGATTCTACAGACATAAAGATCTAAACGTGAAATGTCATATCAATCTTTTACACTTTGAAAATAAAATTTATGGTGGATAAATTATAACTAAGATTAAATATTCAAAACAAGAGGTGAACTAATATTAAGATCTGAATCAACATAGAATAAATTATGTTTTTTGCTAAAACTAAATATCTTTTAATTAACTATTTAGCAAGAGAATCCAATTTAATTATTTTTAAATTCATCATATGAATAAAATTCTTATTCAAGTTTTTTAAAAAAATTAGGGTACATAAATTTATTCCATAAAAAGAGCGTTAGAACATAAAGTAAAAAGGATAGTATATTATTAAGAATCAAATAAAAGTGCCTGAGTAAGCACAATCAAAGCTAAATCCTAAACAAGAACAAGCTTTCAAGACTATATTATAAAGAGCCGACTCTGCTATTTGTAGATGCTGCCGGCGGAATCGAGATAATATTTTTCTGTCATGCATTACTTGCAAATATCATATCAAGAGGCATGACACTATTAGCAATAATAGCAAGTGGTGTACTAACAATGATTTTATTGTGAGGCCACCAACTTTAGATTTGATATACATCTTTAAACAACTTAAATAACCATCACAAATATATCAAAGCAGAGCAATGGTGCTTAATTTATATGGAAAGCAAAAATGATAATATGGGATGAAGATGGCTAAATGTGAAACGATTGAAATAATTGCTCAGAGTTCTAGAGATATATTGGATATTAATGAACCGTTTGGTGAAAAGTTAACGGTTTGGGAGGTAATTTATGTCAAGTACTACCAGGAGTTCCAAAATTGACAAAAGCAGAGTTTGTAAAATCTAGCTTGCCAAAGTTATACTTCTGACCTCAAATGAGAAAGATTGAACTAACAAAAAATATAAAGTAAGAACAGATCCAGTATTCAGTACCTTCTTGCTTTGTGTCAGAAACGAAGAAGAGCATCCAATAAAAGATGATTTGGTTCTTCATGAACACTTGGCTATCAATCCCAATGATAATAGTAGTTCATTTAATAAGAGAAATATTTCTATTATTAGATTAAAACGCAATTTGTGCAATCGCATGATAGAATTAAAAAGATACCTTAGCTAGCATAAATGAATCTGTTGATCAACTAAATAAAAGGTTTATTGCAAAAATTTATAGTAAAAATAAAATATTTTTCTGTTTTTGACTCATCAGAAAATAATACCAATTATTACTACCAAGAAGAATACTTAAATACTTTAATAACAAATTGCTTTCTATCATACATGTTTGTTGTCAAGTTTATTGTTCCTCACGTATATTAGTGTCACCGTATATATAATAGACTAAGTTAAAATTGATCTTCCATTGTATATAGATTGATTTTGAAGAAAAATATGCTTGTCATGCTATTGAAAAACTTAAATACGCTTAATAGCTTATGTAATAGCACATATGTGGTACATAGAAGTTTTGACAATAACGTCATACATGCAAAAATTATGATACTGGTCAATATGCTTTTAAGTATATTCTTATACCTAAATTCAACTTTCGTCTTTCGAAACTAAGAAATATCCTTTTAAATTTGTGTAAAAATAATTTTTAGTATGTTTATGTTTTGCAAATATAATAAATAAAAACAAGTACAAACATCCTAAATATTGGACTATATTAACCACAATATATTTTCTTGCATGAACAACTGTATGTTGCATTTTCAAGAGGGATATCAAGATCGACAACAAGAGTTCTGGTTAAGGCAGAGCAACCAAAGCATTAAGAGGAAACATACACAACAAGATATTGTCTACAAAGAAGGGTTCGTTAAGATACCATCACATTAAATACTTTTAGACTATGATACATAATTATATAACTTACATGATAAAATTGATCATTTAATTTGTGTAAGTTTTGATGATGTCCTTTTATTTTAAATTCATGTATTATGCTAATGTAATAATATTTTTCAGCATTTAGATGATTGTTGTAATATTATACATAAAATTTCTCTCATTAATTAAATTTTATTGTTACTTCATATAAATAAATATTTAAATCATCACGTGCCATTGTTAACGTGCAACGCACGTTCATAGACACTAGTATATTATATAACTGCATGTTATTTTTAATATTAGCGATTTGTTGGACGGCTGCTTAGTTAATTCTTCTCCTTTTTAAAAACTTATTACTTCCTCAATCTCATCTTATGTGGTGCACTTTGACTGATATGCA